CCATAGTCACTCAGGTTTTTTCCTCTCTCTCTACTTCTGCACTGCATTAATTAAGGCACATACATTGATTTGGTGCTTACGCTTCCAACTCTTGTTCACGTGACTGCTATTAGGCGTGGAATCTGAATTCCGCAGCTGACATTTTGTCGTGCACTATGGTTTTTGGCACTTCATGCTACCAAACACTAGTCTGACCGACTAATATTATTATTATTATTATTCCGCTGCTGCTTTGAGCTGGAACAAATAGTGAACTCTGTTCTATAGAACTGTGTGAATGAGATCATGTGTAAGCATATTTTGCTTAAGTCAAGCAATACTCAATACTCACCATGGTCAGCCTACTTCATGTGATTGCTGCGACAGCTATGCTACCAACACTCGCTTCACATGACTGGCTGCACTATGTGACTGCACACTTCATGCTACCAAGCAGTGATTTGCATGACTAATTACTCTGTTCTTGTCAGCTCTGCTGTTGCATTGAGCTGGAACTTTTGCCTGAATGTGGGCAACCTATAAGGTGTTTGACTCTTTGTCAGCTGTTCCGCCGCTAGTTGTGTTTTGGACTGATTTTGACCGTTCTTCCCGCCTTTGCTTTCGGAGATTGAGAGGATAGCCCTAAGGCCATTGGTGCAGGGTCTGTATCAACATCCAAGCTCCCACTTCTGTGGTTGGCGCTGGCTGGCCTGATTTTAGGATTTATTTCCTGTTTCAGAGGTTTTTCCCACAACTCAGGTGTTTCGGGGCCTCATGAAGGAGGATCAGTCTGTCGTGTGGTCACACCATCCAGCTTCTATGGTGACTACCCGTTTTGGAAATAACGCTGTCACTTCTAACGTGACTGGTTGCGTTGATTTGGATTTGTGTCACCTAATCTTGTGCTTTAGTAGCAATTTCATGATGCTGACGCAGAGGTTCATCCTGTCTCTTTCTGAACCAGAGATTGGTTTGTGACCATCAATCCAGGATGTGTACTTCTGCATCCAGATCGTCAATATTCCTTGCTTTGGAATAAAGCTTGTCAATACTGTATTCTTCCATTTGACCTGGTCTCGAACACAAGGTGAATGGACATGTCTCTGGCCCTGTTGTGGCTCCAGGGTGTCTGAGTTTTGAGTCACCTTAACGATTAATTGGCTGGTATTAGCTCAATCACATAAGCCGTTTGGAGACACTGGCATTTAGGTCAGGATGGCAACATGGCTGTGATCTGGTACTGATTAGTCAGGGAGGTTTACGCTCTCACCCCCTGTGCAGTTTGGCGAGATGAGTTCTTCTTTGGGCGCAGACCAAGTTCCTGTCGGTCAGAGCAGTCCATGTCCCAGGTCACCTGAACTCAGGAGCGGACTTGTTCTCGAGACAGTGTTTGGCTGGAGAATGGAGATCGCACCCTCAGGTGGTGAGTCTCATTTGGCAGCGGTCCGGCCAAGCAGAAGTAAACTTGTTTGCTTCAAGCATGGCAACACATTGCCCGCTCTGTTTTTTCTTTGTCTCCTCCATCGCCTCTTGTATGGACGCTCTGGCCCTAGAGTTGACCAGGACCAGTCGTTATGCCTTCCCACCAATCCGTTTGCTCCCAGCGGTTCTGTTCAGAGTACGGACAGACAGAGTGGAATGTCTGCTGTTGGAGGCCCCGTTCTGGCCCTCTCAGACGTGGTTCTCGGAATTAGTCAGTCTGTTAGCCGGCCCTCCTTGGGAGGTTCCCCTCAGACACGACCTGCTGACTGAGCTGAGTGCGTTGATATGTTCCGGTTTCTCGTCAGAGATTACCGACACTTTTCTTTATTCTAGGGCTTCCTCCATGAGACGATTGTATGCCCTTAAGGGGAAGCTTTTTGCCTCCTGGTGTAGGCAATGCAATTTGAACCCAGTCCATTGCCCTGTAGGTCGATAGTGAGTTTCTTCTGAGTCATTTTTCTAAGGGGGTGGCCCCTGCCACTCTTAAGATTATGTAGCAGCCATATCTGCTGAGCATGTTCCGTGAGGTGTTTCATTTGGTCGCCACCCTCTGGTTTCCTGTATCATGCAGGGGTCGAGATGGCTTAGGCCTTTCCGCCCAGCATGGATTCCATCGTGGGACTTATATATCATCTTGGAAGGCATGGCAGGCCATCCATTTGAGCTGTTTAAGTCTGTGTCAGATAACTTTGACCTTTAAAATGGTTCTTTTGGTGGCCCTATTCTCTCTTAAGAGAATTGGGGATCTGCAGGCGCTTTCTATCAGCCGTTCTTGTATGGACTTTGCCCCGGGGCTGGTTAAAGTCTTACTGTGACCTAGGCCTGAGTAAGTTCCTAGGTTGCTTCGACTCCGTTTCACTTTCAGCAAGTGGTTGGAGGCTTTCTCCCCTGCTGATTGCTGGGTCAGATAGTGATGTGCAACTTCTGAGTCTTGCCTGGTGAGGGTGTTGAAGATCTATGCGGACCACACAGCCCAGTGGTGTGGATCTGATAAGTTATTTGTATTTTTGGTGATTAAAACAAAGGAGCTGCCGTCACTAAACAGAGAACAAAGTCTCATTGGATAGTGGAGGCTATCTCTTGGCTTATGAGGTGCGTGGTTTGACTTCGCGTGCTCATTCACGAGAGCAATGGCTTCTTCTCAGGCTCTTTTTAAAGGGTCTTTGTTGGAAGATGGGATGGAATGGTCCTCTCCCAGCACTTCGTTAAGTTATACAGTCTGGCCGTATGGTTGGCTCCTGGCTCTCGGGTCTTATCCACTTGAGCAGACGCTTTCCTCGGTCTTCAAGCTATCTTCAGGTATGTGAAGGCATTATGGTATAGTGTTCCCATAGCGACCGCTGTCGCAGCATTGAAGTGAACCTATGAAAGGGAACGTCTTGGTTACGTATGTAACCTTGGTTCCCTGAATAGGGAACGAGATGCTGCGAAGCTGGCCGTTTCTGTACCTTCGATAGCGCTTTCTTCATCATGTGGAAATCTGATGAAATAGCATGCAGCACGCTGATATGGCATACGTGATGTATGTGTGGAGCGGTGCTAAGTACTATTGGTCAATGAATTGGCGTGATAATAAAAGGGCTTCAGACATTCGTCACACCTGAGGTGTTCCCATAGCGACCGCTGTCGCAGCATCAAGTTCTCTATTCAGGGAACCAAGGTTACATACGTAATCGAGACGTTTGTGGCCCATGGCAAACAAAGTTAACATTACATGACAAGTAAAGGTTAAATGATTGCAGAAATGTTATTTATTTTAAGGTTTAAAGTGAAGTCTTGTTTAATATGGGGAAGTCATGGCCTAATGGTTAGAGAGTCAGACTCGTAACCCAAAGGTTGTGGGTTCGAGTCGTGTACCGGCAGGGATACAGCGCTCATGGCAGTCAATACCATGACTGAGGTGCCCTTGAGCAAGGCCCCGAACCCCCAACTGCTCCCCAGGTGCCACAGCAAAAAAATGGCTGCCCACTGCTCCGTGTGTGTGTTCACTGCTGTGTGTGTTGTGAAGAGTCTCCTGCTCTTCCTGCTATGGCCGGCCAGTGAGTGTGTCTAGGAGACTCATCAAGAGAACGATGTCCACCTGTTCTTCCTGCTATAAAAGTCTTGGCTTTGTGGGTGTGCCTGGTTTGCTCCCGATTGCTTTGTTTTTGGTTTTGGAATGTTTATTTGGATTTTGTTGTGAGACTTGTTCTGTCTGAATCTATAACATCTGGTCAAACAAAAATGGTAGTTATTTTTCCTTTCTTTTGTTAATAAATAATTTGTTGCAACCTTACCAACCGCATGTCCTCCTTTCATTTGTTACGGCTTTGAGCCAGTTGTGACAAATGTGGGGGCTCTTCCTTAAATTTAGACACTTGTTTTGGTAAACTTTTGGACTGTTTCCTGATGCTCCTACTTGTACAAATCTAATAGAGCACGACATTGATGTGGGAGATTCAGTTTCTATTCGTCAGCATTACTATCAGGAGTCCGTGAATAAGAAAAAACATCTGGATGATGAAATTGAGTATAGGTTGAAAAATAACATTGCTGAACCTTCTTTTTCCAGTTGGGCTTCTCCGTCTTTGTTGGTGAGTAAACCGGATGGGTCGTTTAGATTCTGCACTGATTACCAAAAGGTAAATGCTATAACGAAGCCAGATTCTTTTACGCTGCCTCGAATCGAAGACTGTATTGATCTAGTAGGTAATGCTAGATTTGTAAGCAAGTTTGACCTACTGAAAGGTTACTGGCAAGTGCCTTTAACCGTCAGGGCTCGGGAGATTTCTGCTTTCATTACGCCTTCCTGTTTATTTTCTTACAAAGTTATGCGTTTCGGATTGCGCAACGCCACCGCTACTTTTCAGCGCTTAATGAACCGCGTAATATCGGGTTTGAGTGGCTGCGCTGTTTATCTAGATTATGTTGTTGTTTTTAGTCAAACTTGGGAAGAACACGTACTTCAGATTAGAGCACTTTTTGATTGTTTTCTGAGAGCAAACTTGACAGTTAATTTGTTAAAATGTGAATTCGCCAGGGCCACGGTTACTTATCTGGGGAAGGTAGTTGGCCAGGGTCAAGTGCGCCTCGTTCACGCTAAGGTAGAGGCAATAGATAATTACCCTACTCCCGCAACAAAGAAAGAGTTAATGCAATTTCTGGGAATGGTAGGGTTTTATCGTTGTTTTTGCAGGAATTTTTCTATTGTAGCGGTGCCACTGACAAATTTGTTACGGGGAGGACTACCTTTTTGCTGGACCCCGTTGTGTCAGCAAGCATTTGAAAAAATAAAAATGCTTCTTACAGAGGCTCCCATTTTGGCGGCTCCAAGATTTGATCAGTCTTTCCAATTGCAGGTGGATGCCAGTAATGTGGGTGTTGGGGCCGTTTTACTGCAGAGGTCTGAGGATGGCATTGATCACCCAATTAGGTTCTTCTCTAGAAAGTTTAATAAGTGCCAGCTTAATTATTCTGTGATAGAGAAGGAGGCTCTCGCTTTAATTTGGGCTTTACAACACTTCGAGGTGTATGTGGGATCATCGGAGGGACTTCTAGTGGTCTACACAGATCACAATCCTTTAATTTTTCTACACTCTTTACAAAACCCCAACCAAAGGCTAATGAGATGGTGTGTTTTTTTACAGGGTTACCTGTTGGATATTAAAGGCTCAGAAAATGTCACCGCTGATGCCTTGTCTCGTGTTCACATAGTCCAAGTGTTGTAGAACTCAGATTTTCTCTCTTTTCCCTTCCTTCATTTTGCTTCCTAGGCGCCAAGGTTGCTGGAAGGAGTTGCGGAGTTGAAAACGCTGAGGAACATTTGCTAGCTGAATCGAGTCTGCCACTTGGACTGTTTGGATTTTGGTAGAGTATTTATTTATTTTTTTTATAAAAAAATTTTTTGTGCTCTTCTTTTTAGGGGGGGAGTGTGATGAGTCTCCTGCTCTTCCTGCTACGGCCGGCCAGTGGGTGTGTCTAGGAGACTCATCAAGAGAACGATGTCCACCTGTTCTTCCTGCTATAAAAGTCTTGGCTTTGTTGGTGTGGGTGTGCCTGGTTTGCTCTCGATTGCTTTGTGTTTGTGTTTGGTTTTGGAATGTTTATTTGGATTTTGTTATGAGTTGTGAGACTTGTTCTGTCTGACTCTATAACATCTGGTCAAACAGAAATGGTAGTTATTTTTCCTTTCTTTTGTTAATAAATAATTTGTTGCAACCTTACCAACCGCATGTCCTCCTTTCATTTGTTACGGCTTTGAGCCGGTCGTGACAGTGTGCACTTTGGATGGGATAAATGCAGAGCACTAATTCCGAGTATGGGTCACCAAACTTGGCCAGATGTCATGTCACATTATGTAGCCCTATTCTTGGAAACAAGCTGGCAGCAGAAATCACACAACAAAACAAAATGTTATCATTTCATATGAAAGAGGTCATTTGATGCGATTTCAAGTTTTCCTTTCTCTTTGGAGTGTTACAAGCTGATTGCGCATAGATAAGATCCCTGAAGTTGCAAAGACTAAAGTCTCAAAACCAAAGAGATATTCTTTATCAAAGTTAAGACTCTGCCACGCCCCCCTAAAATGGCTCGTTCTAACACGCCCCCACATATCTACCTCACTATGTGGAAATATTTGCATAATGCGCCCAAATGTGCACGCAAAGAAAGAAGGTGGGGTTTCAGTAACCGCAGTTAGTGTTGAAGCAGCCATGTCAGGGAGATGCTGTGTGTTTCTAGGCGAAAGCAAAAGCACTTTATTTGGCCTTCCGAAAGTAGATGCATTTAGGAATCTTTAAGATCACTTACAACAGAACAGCAATGCATTTTATGGACGACTGTTTCGTGAACCTAGGAGAGGAGGTAATTCTGACTTTGCTATGAAATTCTGGCCTTCTGAATCAGCTACTGTTTTCTTATTAGTTTAAGTATTTGCTATTGACTGTTCAAATGTGGAGTTTTGCACATCGTGTGTGTGTGTGTGTGTGTGTGTGTGCGCGCGCACGTGTGTGTGTGAGAGAGCGAGAGAGAGAGAGACGGGGTCACATCACAGTAGAGTCAGCTGTCTTAACCATGGCTTGTGTACTGCAAACACATACCAGCTTCATCATTATGTCTGTCACACGACTCTGTTCCCCTTTTGGGCTTGAACTGACGGTAAAACTAATTACATTATTTACTGTATTTACATTTATTTTGAAAGATGAAGCTCGCGATTATGGTAAGGGGCCGGTGTTCGGCCAATCACAATGCACTGGGTCAGCTGGCCAATCAGAGCAGACTGCGCTTGTCGGAAGGAGGGACTTTGTAGAAAACGAAGAGTTTGAGAGAGGCGGGGCATAGAGGACCTACAAAAATGTACAGTATTTGAAAAATAATGTGTTTTTTAACATTAAAGCATGTCAACATATTCTGTTACACCAAATACACAAAATAATGATCTTTAAAAATGCATCATATGACCCCTTTAAGTAAACGAGTAAACAATTGAATAATGCAATTGAAAACAATGTAATTGATATGACAATTTTGTAGCATTTATATTGCAGTACTGTAATCGGTGTGTCTGCATTGTCAAGGTAATTCTCATATCTATCTATCTATCTGTCTATCTGTCTGTCTGTATATCTATCTATCTATATAGAGGGATAAATGCTTCAATACAAAGTCAGTACAAGCTCATGAAATAGCTCATAGGAATATGATCTATATTGGGATAAGAAAGAACTATCACGGGATAACACATAACATTGTCTTGAATCAAACATGGACAAGACCTCAGCCAAAAATGTCAATTATAGAAATATAGTTATTAATGGTTGGCAGAAAGCAGTATGGACTTTGGACAGTATGGATTTTGGACTTATGGACATTGAGAAAACAAGTAAAAATATACTAAGACCCGCCGGTCTCAGCCTTCATGCCTGGAGAGGCTTCACCATCATCCTGCTCACTGAACTTTGTCAGTACTCTGTCTTGTATCTGGTAACTGGGCTCCAAGAGTTGAATGAGCTCTGAATGTTTGATAGACAATTCCAAATTGTGTATTTGACTTGGTTTAGAATTTATTGGGCATTCTACTCTGTAAATGAATTGTACATGGCAAATCCTTTTTTTAGGTTGTTTATACTATCCTGAAATTAAAGGGGTCCTATTATGCTTTTTCACTTTTTTAATTTTAGTCAGTGTGTAGTGTGTATGTTTGGGCATAAAAAAGATCTAGAAAGTTACAAATCTCAAAGTCCACTCCAAAGGGTGAGATTTCGTTTTTTAAAAATCCCTTTTCAAGAACTACAACGAACGGCTCGTTTGGACTACAGCGTTTGTTTTCCGGGCTTTGTGATATCACAAAGCGGTCCATTAGAATATCATTAAAAATACTTCCCACCTACAGAAATTTGAATGGTTGGGGGGTGGGGAGGGGCGAGGTTGTGGTTGGAACGCTTGGTTGAGTGAGTGCATCAGACGAGATGACAAGAAGAAGTGCTGCTGGAGAGTTAGTGCATCAGAGAAAACAAAGAAGAGCTGATGTGCTGTAGCTTAAAATTTTCGGCATGTCTAGAACAATTCTTACAAGTACAACACGACGTAGCTGGGCACCGCGGACAGACGCCGAACACTCATAGAAAATAATGTATTTGAATTTTAAAGATGTGGGGCGACGCGACGCTGCGCTTCTCGTCCGGTGCGCGACCGCCTGAAACGCTGTTTTTTTCACCTCCGTGCCCAAACGTCTTTGTTTGGGCTTCCGAAAGCGGATGATGTCAGGAAACAGTGGTTGCAATTTATTTTTTAACTCTGTTCCTGAGCATTATAACCCCAATTTGCTATTGTGTGCTGCGCATTTTACTGAGGACAGCTTCCACAACATGAGGGAGTACAGTGCCTGCCGGATTTGCCAAAAAGCTTTTGTTGAAAGACGGAGCAAGGGGCATGGCAGTACTGAAACACCGTCTAAGCTGATTGCCAATCACAACGCACTTGCACAGCTAATCAATCACAACACATTTTGTTTTTCGGAAAGGCGGACCTTCATCAAAGCCGGATGTGCAAGGATGGGGAGCAAGGTATTTTAATAATGTAAATTATGTGAAAAATAATGTGTTTTTCGAACCACCAAGTATGAGAGCATGTTCTAGTACACCCCCAAAACAAAATCAAGACTTTGTAAAAGAGCATAATAGGACCCCTTTAAGTATTTGGACTTGTCAGATAGCATCGGCTGTATTTAATTGTATTTTGCTGTTTTTATTTATTCATTTTTTTATTTTTTCTGGTGTACTTTGTATTGTTTCCCTGTTTAACAGTGGCAACAGATCTAGGATTTCAATTTTCGAACATCAGCTGATGTAACTGTTGTATTTCTTGTCATAAATGGCTTCTTTTTGAGCTAAAAAAGAAAATCTGTAATTAATAATGTATAATCTGTTTGTCAAATGTGATCATTACAAATCATTAGAATTGTCATATTGGTTGTGTTTTATTTTGGGTTTTCACTTAAAAGGAAAGCATTCAAATGAAGATATGAAGCACATGTCAGTGGCAGCTATGTGCATCAAACATTACCACCTTGGTTGCTCTCATATGACAGGGATTGCCATTTACTTGAGAGAACAATAACACTTCATGTAATTATCTATAAATCCTTTTAATGACTGGTAAGGGGAGCATTCCGAGTGAACTAATCTCAGACTTCAGCTTTAGTTTAGTTTAGTTTACTTCAGTTTACTTCAACTGCTGTTTAAAGTAAATGTAAAGAGAGTTAACATAACTTATGATGCCCTCATTGCAATATGCATAACAGGATGTAGAAAGTAAGCAAAGAAAATAGTTAAGTTTTGTTTGCTTTGTTTTGGTTTTTCAATTAACCCGTGTCCAGCAGGTTAATAGAAAAGTAACTTACAGGACATCGATGACATTGTTTGGATGGCTTTCTATAAGAAAAGTTTGGGAATAGTTGATGGTCAGTGTGGGAAGAATCAGCAATAAATGTAATAGCCCCATTCACAGTTCTATAGGTTTGCAATGTGCAGTGAGGGGTGAAAGATGATATCTAAACACTTTTTTTGGCACACTTGTTAATGAACAGTATAGAAAGTGTATGCACTCTGTGGTACTGGTGCATAAACTTATTGAAGGTGTGATCACACTTTCAAGTATGGCTTTGCAGAAGTGAATGAATCATGCAATGTCACACTTCTACAGATGTGTCATTTAGATAATTTTTTCTTTGTAGATGCTAACTTACCATAGTGGCATATAACAAAGTATACTTAGATTACATTAAAGTACACACAGTATTGCCAGCTATGCCTTAATAGCCAAAGTACCAGTATGTGGTGCTATTAATATAATTAGTAAACAGCACATATAGCTTTGCATTAACAAGGAATAATCTTTGAATGAAGTAACAGATGGCTATGGCAATTATTTTAATTAATTTTCATGTCTAATATTTGCATTGCTGTCAGTGCCAGAATCTCCATTCATAAATGTGGAATAGGAAATATGTGAAGCAATAATGTTATTGTCACGGTCATGGTCACGGTGTGTGGAGGCAAGCAGGATGACAAGGATTCCAAAAAATATATTTAATGTACTCAACAAGGCAGATTCAGGAAGATGAGACACACACTCGGGGTAACATTCACAATAACCGTCAAACAGGAACACAATGGACAGGAACTGATATAGGGTGGATAATTAGTGGCAGACAGGTGAGCACAATGAGGGCAATTAACTAATGATAGTACGGGCTAAACCAACAAAAGGGGAAGAAACCACAATAAACAGTCCACAGGGGCGTTACAGTTATAGCATGAATGATGCACTGAAAAAA